TTTTTTCTTTTTCTGTAAACTGATTTGCATTGTCAAAAACTAAAATTGAGGGTTTTTAGACTTCGTTAAGTGAGCCAAAATATGATTAGCAAGATCATATCCTACCAGAGTTGAGGTTTTGTCTGTAAGATTTTTAAAAAATGATTTTTGACCAGCAACTTTGTAAAACTTTGGATAAAAAACTTCCGCGTCACCATTGAAATTTTCAATAACATCTTTTATCAAGTTGAATGAATGCTTTGCATCATCTTCTGAGAAAATGTATTTTGAAAGTTCATCTCTAATATGCAAAAATCGTTTTTTAGAATGTTAATGCCTTTTATAACAAAATTTTTGAGCTCATCAACAGAACAAGTTTGTTTAACATTAGTTGTTGGATTTATTGGTTGTGTTAGAGAGTCACTATTTGAGTTTTGAGTTGTAATGTGACGCTTGAGTTCTTTCTCTGATTTACATTTTTTAACACACTGCTGGCAATTAAAACTGATTAAAGAATTTCCATTTTCAATTTCACTAAGAAGAGCATCAAAATCACTAAGGAACTTATTGTTTTCAAAAAAAGTATCTGACTCTAACTCTAATATGAGATGATCAATGGATTGTTTATCTGCTGATTTTGCCATTTTTTTAGATTTTTGTGCACTTATTAGTAGCCTGGGCACAATAAATAAACAGTTTTCAACATAAATTCAAAATTTTAACTTTGATTGTTTGTAAACAATAGAATCTTGCAAAAACGGCCCAACTGGCCGTTTTTGCAAGGACTATCTGTTATTATGACTATGAAAATATCTCGTAAAGTTTCGGGGGGTTTTATTTTAAAAATGCGCCAAAATTTTGTTAATTAAATTTTCAATGCTATTCAAAAGCAATATAACAAACAAAAAAGGATAATTTAGAGTATTCTGTTAAAGTAGTTTGTGACTTATTTTGTATTAAATCTTTGAAGGATTACCAAAAAGACGCTTTAAAAGCTCTCAGCAATCGCAAAAAAAACAATCTGTTTTGTTTGCCAACCAACAGGCAGTACAAAATCTATTTTGTTCCAATGTTTACCCTTTTTTACCTTCACTTTAAACTTATTAAGAAAAGGACAAGCACGTGATAGTATTCGATATGAATATGTATTTAAGTTGTGCAATAATTAAATTTTTGTTGTTTCTCTGCTTTTGAGTTTATGAAAGATCAAGAAAACATTCTTAGTAAAAAGCGAATCAAAGTAGCTTCTATGAAGCATAATCAACAAAGAAAAGATATAGAAGATGATCAAACAGAGGTAACAATTATCATTATTACACATTATTTTAGTTAGAAATAAAGTTTTATAAATATAAACAAGCTCTAAACTTGATCAAGTTACATTTGTTTGTTCGAAAATATTCTACTACTTATTTCTTCTGCTGTTGGTGTAGATATCAATATTCTTTGTGAGTTTTCTTTAAGAATTTCACAACCTCTTGAGATGGCATTTATATTTTTTTTGTATTTTTCCTAATGTTCTTCTTACATTTGTATAGCATGTTTTACAAATACAATGATAGTTTTTTTAATAAACTAGCTTTTCATTTATGATTTTTTCTATATATAGGCCAGCCTCTGTTATTTATCCCTTTTTTTTTTTTTCAACATCTTCGCTTCCAACAAGGCTGCAAGCAACCACTAATTAGTGTTGGAAGTTACTGGAAGAGAAAAGATGAAGATTGTAGAGCAAGATAACGATTGACAGACGAATTTAAAGATTGCAAATTATATGAATCAGGAAAGCAAGATGAAGGAAGCGAATTCCAATGAAATAATGTTCGAGGAAAAAAACTAGACGAATAAGAGTTTTTAGAGCACTTAGGAACAGTAACAGAAAAAGGATGAGACTTAATTGAATGACGAGTAACACGAGAATGAATTTTAGTAGATGGCACAAGAGTCGCTAGCTCTTTAGAGCAGTGCCCATTATAGTATTTGTAGAAAAGAGAAAGAGAAGCAACATTACGACGATGTGACAGAGGTTGAAGGTTGGCTGCAAGAGCAGCTCCAACTATGTTTTTTTTGCAATTGCAACAATGCGTTTTTGCACCTTGTCTAAAAGAGAAAGAGCATCATTAGAAGATCAACCCCAGATATGGCAACAGTATTCCATACAAGGCCGGATTTGAGATTTATAGAGATAGAGAATAGAATCCAGAGTAAGAAAGTGACGAGCTCGATAAAGAGAAGCAACTTTAGCAGATGCTAATTTTGCAACGGATTTGATATAAGGTTTCCAAGAAAGATCAGAAGTAAGAGTTAATCCTAGAAGATGAAGGGTAGGAGACTCATCGAGTACATTACCGTTCATAAATATAGGAAGTTCTAAATTATTGCGATAACGATTGCCTGAAAAAAAATTGAGTTTTATCTGAATTAAAGTTCACCAGCCACTGTGAGCCCCATGCTGTAGCAGAAGTGAGATCCTTTCCAGCTCAGATGTCCCCTGCAAGCAATCAGAGGGAGTTTCTTATCGTGACAAGAATAAATGGTAGTATCATCAGCGAACAATGCCACCTTAGATGTGAGAATATCTGGAAGATCGTTAATGTAAATTAAAAAGAGTATAGGGCCAAGGGTTGAATAAATACAAGAATAAATGGTAGTATCAAAACCGTTAGACAAAACCTTTTTACAATGGTTCCTAGCAGTAATAAACAGATGTCTGTTTTCTGGAGAATTGTTTTGCTGATAGATATGGAAGTAATGGTTTCGATTGGCAATTGCAGCAGCACAATTTGAGAAAAACCATGGAGAAGA